GTAGGAACTGCTTTCCCAGAGAAGGCATCAGGTGTGTGCAGCAGCTTGCAGAAGGAAGGTCCATAGCAACATTCCCGAGGCAGCAGATTTTACTCCAGCACAAGCAAGAATTTTTGGAGTTTATACTTGGTCACTGCCATTACAACACCTTCAGCTTTGTCTTGTCAGCATTTGATGCACTTAGGCACAATGCTGAAAGCAGTATATTTTCAGTGTAGGCCTTTTCTTGTCATTGTGTACTGAGCGTACTGTGCAGCCTTAGGAGTTGCATTAAGGTGTTTGTACAGAGATTCTTTGGTGATTCTGAGAGTTGTCTTGGTGACAGCCCATTAAGGAGAGAGAGGTGTACTGACAAACCTCTACTGTGGCAGACCTGAGGGTCAGTTCTACGGTTCTTTTTACTTAGCAGTATAAAGTGCAACTATTACAGATAAGGTATGTAGGACTGGGTCCTTCAGTAGCAGCAAGAGCTGTCTTTTCTGATTAATAAAGGAAGTACAAAATCACTGCAGAGACACTTGAAAAGAGTTATGATGGTCTGTAGTTGGTAAAGATAAGTGGCTTAAGATCAAGACAGTGGCATTTGGAAAAAAGTAATTTCTGCTTCTAGAGTTTATCTAATAAATACTCGTAACAAAAAAGCTGATACCACACATTTCTTGCATTTCAGAGCAATACCTCTACAATTTAGAAAGCTAGTGAGATAGTTAGGACTTCACCATTTTCCTCATGCTGAGTAGGAAAACAGGGGCTACGTATCTAAATAAAATTGTGCTTAGTGAGACTGAGTTAGAGAGAGGAATTTGAACTACACAGTTAGAGTTGGAAAGCATTTGAAAAGGAATCCAAAGCTACTTTCTGTAAAGTGTCTAGTATAATTACAGGTATTAGAGGATCATTACAAATAAAGTCATAAGGAAGCAAGGTCGTAAATGCAGTGCAGAATGTTTGTTTACTGCATTTATTCTCAGTTAGTGAGAGGATGATCCTTTCATTGCGCTAGTGAAACGTGGTTCCAGGGAAAAGGGAATAGCTGCTAAGTAGAGGTGACAGATTTTAACCATGCTATAAAACACAGATACAAATTCATCTGAAATCAAAAGGCAGTATTATAATAGATGTTACCCAGTCATATCCTGCATGATATTCTTCAAGCAGAATACATACAATTTTAATTTACACACAATGCAAACTTGCACGGTCTACTTCAGAATGAAAACAAGATCGGAAAACACAAGAATTGAAGTACTATGTGCTGAAAAAAAAGTACAATAGATTTTAGGTTACACAAGAAACAAGAGAATTAATAAATTTATATTCAGCCTTCACCTCTCAGTTTAGCAGAAAGACAGGCAACGCCATCTTCCCCGTAATTTAAAGAAAGCAACATGGTAAGGAAATACGCACATTGTTAGATTCTCTCTTAAAGATAAAAAAATGACATAGAATTAGTCCACATAAAATGGTATAACATAGCATTCATTCCTTACCTAGTGTTTATTTTTACTGTGGCTAATGAAATTAGCTTTGAAATATATCTACATCTGACTGTAGTTCAGGCAACTGTATATGATCATTTTTCTGGAAAGTTGGCCAACTTTGCTAGACACTGCAGATGTTTTTCTTGTCCTGGTAAAATAAAAATCCTAAGATTTAGAACTAAATACGAAACGAGAATAGTTTTTTATTTAAAAGCTTATGATTTTTATGAAGGGTAATTTGAATTAAAAATAGTGGATCTGTAATCCTGTGTCACATCATCAAAGTAGTAGATTTTTTTTTAATTTTCAAGAAAGTTGTGATCTGTTCATTTTTTAAGTATTATGGTATGGGTTTTCCACAGATCTCCAAGTGAACCTTTTTTATGGATCTCTAAAACATCACTGAAATCAGTGTGCCTCATGGGAGTATAAAGAATGTATCTCATGAGGCTTTGAAGAAATTGCAAGATTGATTTTTCAGGAGTTTGGGTCCTAAATGACTGTTATATTTAATAAGAGTGTCCACCAAGATTTTAACATGGAAGGAAGATCAGAGCAATTACTTAGCTCTTCCAAAACGAAGAAGGAAAATTTCCAAAGTATGCAAGTTGCAATAACGGTCTTCATCAAAATGTGTGAGATGAATGAGATGCTTAAGAAAGGCTTTTCAGGGCCAGATTCCAATTTTGCATAGTGCTTGCTTGGTTTTGTTCCATGTTCTCAATTATTATTATGTGTAGCTTTATGGTGGTACCATAAAGAGGTCTTTAAAAAGACGGGGAGGAAAGTGAAAAGTGCAAAACAGACCTTATTTCTATTGTTCCTTTTGCTCTCTCTTATTCTTCATCAGCTATAGCCTCTGACATGCCGCTGCTTCTCCCCTGATCTTTTTCAGAGTGAGACCGTGTATATTCTTCCAAATGGGTTTTTGAAAGTAGTCCACAGGGGTGCATTTTAAACGATTCAAGTTGCGAGGCAGATTGTGCAGATTGCTCAGTGTGTGCATTTAGGACCACTGTAAAAGTAAATCCCATATCGCAGCTGTTTTATTTTCTATTGAGCAGTGTGACACCAGTAGCTGTTTAGGAAAAGCAACTCAGCCGGGAAAAAAAAAAAAAAAGTTGTTACTTCCAATATTGGGGGTGTTTTCATTCTTCGGAAAAAATGGATTGCTACTTTGTTTCTTCACCTTCCAGTCTGCTTCTTGATGTTTCCAGATTTACTGAGAGGATCCATAGCCAAATTATGATGCAGGTATCTGTGCGGTGGTTGTACTGCATGTCCATTGAATGTTTTCCCATGACTAAGGTTTGTGAAATATTTTAGCGCACATGTAGATAAAGCCTTATCTTAAACAATATGGAGGGACAGGACCTCGAGTGAGAATGCCTCAAAAAAGGATCAGGTTTATCCCTTCTCATTCTCCACACACAGTTGTCTGATAGGTTCTTAAAACATTCTGGTAATAGAAATACTACAAATTCTACAGGCATCCTTCTGTCTGTACTTACCTTCTAGAAAGTGTTCCCCTAATGTTTAACTGAAATCTCTCTTGCTGCAATTTAAACCCATTTTGTAGTTTGTATTTTAGGCCTTTATTTCTTCTCTTATCCTCAGTGGAAAAGGGCGAGTAGCTCCCAGTAATTTTTGTGTATTTGGCTGTGAAGTCTTTTCTCATACTTCTCTAACTATATAATCAATTCTTCTTTTTAAAGCTGGACACAACATTCCAGCTGCAGCCTTACCACTATGAGTAATTATTCTGGAAGGATTATTCCATAGTTCTTCCATCTAACATACTAGATAGCATACCAGGGAATGTTTGGGCACTCTTACCAGCAAAATGTTGTTGACTCATATTCAGCTCATTTTGACCCCACATTCTTTTCTGTCTTGTGAGTCACCTGCCCTATTGTATTAATTGTTTCACCCCCACAAAATACTTTTGACTTGCCAAATTGAGCTGTATTCTGTGGTTTTAGACTACCAAATTTGACACAATTGTTTTGAACTCTAATCCTGTTCTTCCAGTACTTGCAATGGCTCCCAACTTTCTGTCGTCTGAAAGGATTGATAAGTTCTTCCTGTCTTCCATCATTCAGGAAATATTGAATGATGCTAGAAGCAGAACAAAACCTATGAACTACTTCATCCATCTATCCACTTTGACAGTAAGCCATTGATAACTGTTCTGAATATAGCCTTCCAACAAGCATCTACCTGCCTTACATTAGTTTACAGTAATTCTCATCCCTCGCTTTTAAACTACTCTTTTTTTTGGCACATATCATTTTCATCCATCACAGCATGCTGAAAGTGATTACGTTTTTATTCTTGATTTGTTTCTGGGTTGAATTGAAGTAGAGCAGGTTGAATGCTCAGTGAGTTAATGTTCTGTGTGCTGTATGTGTATTAGTATTTGGTGAACTTGAATTGTTTTCTAAAAATAGATTGAAAGCATTTCCTGTGATCCCAGCCTGAGAACTAATGAATAAAGCAAAAGAACAAAAAAATACACCTGCAATTCTCTATGCATAACTCTCTTAGTCTCAATTGCATCTTTTTTATTATTATGCTGGACATTACTAGACTGTGATGAACACCATTTAAATCCACCATTAAACATTTAGTGTTTCACTTTCCATATCGAATGTTGTCAATATAATAGCACATTATAGATGGAGAAGTTTTGGAAAGAAAAAAAGAGATTTTAGTGTTTGTCCTGTTGGAGGGCCATCAAATCTAAAAGAGATTGCAGTGGATCTGCCCCCATATTTAACTGGACTGTCCCTCGCTGCTATCTTCCTGCTAGCACACTGACATTTTATATTTTGATATACTACAGCTCATTTTACTTCTCTCTTTAAAAACTTCTAACCTAATAAAGTAGATGACAGCAGCTTACTGAGATCATTGTGCACCAGGTCACCTTCTTAAAGCAGGAACGATGGATTGACTTCAGGAGTTTGTGTTGCTGGTTACTGTGCTGAAAGACAAACGGAAAGAGATACTGTCAGTACAAGTTTAGGCACTCAGTTTCGGACTTAAGGGAACAACTGGAGCCTGCATTATATACAAGAGCAGATGAAATAGTGGTTTTGGTTTTAAAATATTTTAAACAATCTGACAGATATGTTTAACAGCTTTCACAGGTTAAGTTTACTATGTGGTTTTCTGTTTCTGAATTCTGTGGGGAAGTGATGGATTTCTATAGGTGGTAGGACAGAAGTTAAAAAGTTTCTCATGAAAGAATTCTTAAAATTAATATGTATCACAGAATGAATAATTCTTGTGTTTTGGACCACAATTTCATTGTAGTTTTAATTAAATCAAGGTAGATGACATCTAATACACTTTTTTGAAAATCTCAACATTGTCTTTACCCTTGATATTAGGAAAGAGTTTAACTGGACCTTTAGCAGTTCAATATTTATGCTGATATTTACATATATCCCTAAAAATAGCCGCATAACTAAATTTGGGTCTGTACTTGACTTTTTTTCCCCTCCCTTGTTGTAGCTATAATCAAAACAGCTCTTCCCAACATGGACAGAGAAGCCAAAGAAGAATACTTCGTGGTCATCCAAGCAAAGGACATGGGAGGACATATGGGTGGCCTCTCTGGAACTACGACAGTGACAATTACACTCACTGATGTTAATGACAATCCTCCTAAGTTTGCACAGAGTAAGTGCCATTATGTGTATGCCTTCTGCTGTACAAGAAAGTAATATAGTGCTTTGGGGTTTTTTATCAATCTTTTTTCTTTTTATCATCATCATATTGCATGACTTCATAATCTAATTTAAAAATATGTAGCTACTGCTAGAGAAAGATTAATAGCCCTCTGCCTGATTAAGAGCTTAGGAAAGAGGGAATGACATCCACAGCTCTCTGTCTTTGTTGTTACCCTTCTAACATACACACTAAAGGGTTTGGAGACTTTTTTTTCATATATTTATTTGTTTTCAGTGCAGTTATATCTGAGTCCTAGTTCTGGTTGCTGTTATATGTACTTCTATCCAATGCAGTCAAGTGATACCGCCAGTAAAAGACATATATACCTGATAAAAGAAATAAAGGCTTGACTAATTAGGTAATAGTGAAGAAAATAAAGAAAATAAGTCTGGAGTCTCAATAATTGTTGATCTTTAATTCAAAATCCATATTTACTACTGTGGTGCCAATGGATATCTTGCTGGGTTAGGTTAAAATGATTTGGCATCCTGCTGAGATTCTCTTCAGGCTTTGTAGTCTATTTCAAAGATGAAGACAAAAAGAAAGAAAAAGGAGAAGGAAGAGCATAATGACTGGATTGATTTTATTTGGAACAGGTGCAGTCTAATACATTATTAAAAACTTACCTTTTTATCTAACTTGTTCTGAAAAACTAAAATTGTATGGTGTTGAGAGTCTTTTCTGCAGCTGGAGAATGTTCACATCTAGACATTGTATCGTATTTGCTTTCTTAGAAGCGTGTTTTTCTAACAAGGTACTTATGCAGCTGATGTAAAATCCATCCTTTTACACATATGTAAGACTGGAATTCCACTTTTGCACTGTTAGAAGACGCAAAGAGTGAAATGGGTTTGTCCTAGTACTCTGCATGTGACACTCTCCTGTAGCCTAGAAAATGCACATACAGATATAGAGAAAAAATATACAATAAATAAGCATAGATAAAAGCTTATTTGCAAAATATATATTTTATTACCTTATTTAGTGAGTTTTAACAGATAAGTACTCTGTGCACAATAAAAGGTCATTGTAAAGTAAGAAATGCATAATTTTTTTACTTCATATCTCGTTGCACTACATGCATTTGTATCATAGTGTTTTCCAATGTATTTCCCTAAAAATGCAAATATCTATAGTTGAGACCCCTGACTGAACCGTATCACCAGAACGCAGAGGGTCATTCCTTTTATACCTGCAGCTGTAACTTGGTGGCTACAGATCTACTTTTGCCAGCTTACCTGGCTTTTATATTTGTATCAGCACTTTCTGTCTCAAAAAGCCTTTACCTGACAGGAAGAAAAAAAGCTGGTCAGAAAATCAGCGACACAGCTGGTACGAATTTGTACCTTTGCTGGAGGAGGAAGCATGGGGGGAGTGCATATGAGGGTGAAACCATCCTTCCCCTGTGCAGTTTACCCGTTTGTTCTCCTGTAGTTTGGGTACATTGACGCAGTGACTGGGTAGCACAAGGGAGACTGCATCACAGATCCCCCAAATGTATTTTCTCTATGAAAAATGTAATTTTCCTTCAGCAAAGAGCTGCTGTCTTTGAAGCTGTTATAGCTAAGGCATTCCAGAGCATAATTAAAGCTACCGTCTAGGAACAACTCTGTTACAACACTGACCATTATGCAACTGCACTAGAAAGAGCCCTGCACATATATACTTTTGTATTATATAGACGTATTGTGTTTAATAAGGATGAGTCGTAGTAAATATTTTAAGTTGATGTTATTCCAAATTCCGCCTTTTTAAGCTAAGTATTCATAGCATTCTGCCTCGTATTAGAGATCAGTCAAGACTTTGGCCTTGTACAAGAGCTGATCGAGTCTAACATTTTTTTACACTGTTGAAGCACGGTTTGCATTTGCCTGGAAAGGAAAATAAGAAGGGATCAAACTTACAATAAAGCCTAACCAGAACGAAATAGAAATTCATAAGATGTAATACATGCTGCTTTCACAATAAATTGTAATGAACTCAGAAAGCGGTATGTTTTATCGGTTTATTGTTTCCAGCCAGGACAGAAATGTATATTTATGGTTTGATTTGAAAGAGAGTTGGCCTCCTGGGTTTTCAAAATGAAAAAGATGAACTTTCACTACTTCTGTGATCTCTTTGAAATAATTTTAGAGGCATTTTCTAAGTCACAGAAGTTTTTAACCTGGCAGTTTACCATAGGATTGTACTGAGAACAACCGTGCACTGCTGTGAAAATCAAGGATTTTCAAAGATGCATAATGTGAATTTTTGGTCACCTCTGCACTATGACATCTGGAAAGGACAACTCATACTTCTTAAAAGCATTTTATGTAAAGGAGTCAGCAGCATCATATTATGTTTTTACAATATTTTGTAAATTATCTTAATAATATGGTTGAGGGGTGAACTTGTAGTGGAGGATTAAGGGTTGGACTCGATGATCCCAAGGGTCTTTTCCAATCTGATTTGTTCTGTGATTTCTATGATTCTATAATAAATCTGAGAGAAAAATATCAACTTAAAAATGCAATCAACTGTGTCTGGAGACTCAAACCACAAAGCGTGGACACCAGCATAAATTATGAACACATAATTTAGTCTCCAGAGGCACTTGATTGCTTTGGCTGCTTGCTGTATGTGAGGCATTATGAATGTTCTTGAGGAATCTTGATGATCTCCAAATTATCTGTAATAATTTAGCCTAGCAATGTTAAAGAAAAAGAAGCGTTTGGGGATAAACTATGTGTGTAGCTAATATAGGTATTTGTGAATTCCTCAGTTTCCAGACTACTTTCAGCTGTTGCTAGTGCAGTCAGCCTTCAAACAGTTTAAGCAACAACTCCAGAACTATTTTTTTAAAAAAAACCACCTGCTAGCTGTACCAGACCTCAAAAGCTGCACATTGAGTTGGAACAACTGTGAGAACAGAAAAAGAACAAGTCTATAACCCTGTATCAAAAACTATTTTAATGGTCTCATCTGCTAACCTTGACTTCCTTTTGACTATTTTAACCACCAGGTAGCACAGCAGTTGATTAGATCTTGTATTAACCATAACTTCAACAAGTGTAAATTACCAGGAGGTAAAAAAATGAACACTCCATGAACACTTTGTGATGTAAAGCATTCATGTTTCTGCTATTTTTCAGAGTACTTCTGAGAACTAGAAAATAAAATAATAAAATTGCTGGTTTGAGTTTTCTCTTAATAAAATGATTACCCCAAATAATCAAGTTCTAAATACATTTTTGACACTTCTTGAATAGCACTATCTAATGGATTTTAGTCTAACCCTACAACCAAATATTAAATATAGTAATGTTTACTATGAAAAGTTATTGTTTCCTCTACAACATAAGTTTTGGGACTTCCCTTGAATGTTTCTTAATTAGTTTCTTAACAGAAAATGCAGGTGGAAGAGATTAAAGAAACAAAACCAAATCAAATTAAAAGGGTCAAAAAAATAGTAAAGATCTAAAATGGTTTAAGGTATCTTTAAAGTATTAGAACAGTTTTCTACAGAGTAAAAGTTGAAGTTCAGTGGTAAGTTCAACAGTGTCTGCAGGAGAGGGCGTTGCATGCTTCCAGTGTTGCAAGTGGCTTAATTTTTATGTTTGCTAACAGTAAGCATCCCTGCAAGGAAGAAGCAGGACAGTACTCTCATGAAAAGAGCATTCACATACAGTAAACTGAATATCGCTATGTAAGGAACACGTGCTGCTTTCCGTAAATAAATTGTGTAAATGTGGTTTATATCAGTTCCACATCTCAAGAGTTTTCATTGGGAAAATACAAACGAATAAAAAGCACAGAAAAGATACTGGAATCAGGTGTAATGTTTAGTCTTTTCCTCTTATTTGCAAGGTCTGTATCATTTCTCAGTAATGGAAGATGTTGCTCTTGGTGAACCAATAGGAAGAGTGAAAGCAAATGACCTGGATACTGGAGAAAATGCTAAATCATCCTATGATATTATTGAAGGAGATGGAATGGATTTCTTTGAAATTACTACAGATGCCCAAACACAGGATGGCATTATTAGAGTGAGAAAGGTAAATATCTCTACTTAAAAAATACAACTACTCAGCCAGACTTTACTCTGTGACAAAATGCTTGATTTCTAAGATTCTTTTATCTGTGAATGAGGAGTCAAGCTAGTGATGTGATAAAAAATTGATGTTATTAGCCATGTCCCTCAAAACTGCTGTTTAGGTGACAGTTGGGGAGACAACCATGGAAGTATTTCAGTGCTGAGACTGTGTTAATCTTATCTGGGCTTTCAGCTGGTCAAATCGTATAGGTTTTTCTTCCTCATTTCCGAAGGAGAAGAGTAGATTGGAATCTGATTTGTTGGTGGTGTAACCTTCCGTAAAATCTTGGCTGAATATTCATCAAATACCTTTTCTCTATTATTTGGTATGTGGTATAGCTAGTTATATTCTGTTCAGAGAAAAAACAAAGAAAATCACAGTGTATTACTGAAATCACCTGATATGTGAGAGACAGTCTTCCACCTCGTCTCATATTGAACTCTTTTTGCTCAATGATCTCAGTGAACCTTCTCAAGGAGATCAGTACGGCGTCACATGGAAAGTGCCAAATTCAAGTCCTAAAGAAGGCTACAATTCTGTTACCTTTTGTATGCTTGTACAGTCTTGATATATGCAAAATGAGATATTTGAATATACCCAACAGAAGGACAACCCAATTATTTACAGATATATGGGGAGAGACAACATATCTAAACCAAAACCTGGCTAATAATCTTAACAAAATATTATTTGCAGATTTAATTTGTATTATTTTGGGGGGAAGAAGAGGCAGGATTCTCACGCTGTGTTCTGAAAAAGAAGGGTTCAGATATGTAGTGTATAGCACTCTAAATTAATCTTTTTTAAAAAAATAAAAGACACAAATCCAAACAACAAAAAAACCCCACCAAACCAAAAGATGGGGTTCCAGAGAAAAACAAGAATCCAATGAGAAAACAATTAATATTTAACTTGTATCTGTAATTAAAGAGGTCAAGCAGAGTACCTGTCAAAAGTTTATATTTTCTTTTTCTCTGTGAATAGGTCAGAACTCTAGAAGTATAATGAAATGATGTACATTATCTAAATTTAGTTCTGTTTTCCTACAGAGAAAATTATGATACACATCCTTGATCTTCCTTCCTGTTATTTATTATATGCTGTGGCCTCTTTTGTAAACTAAGGCAATTAGCCTTTTGCCCCAGTTCCCTTGGCTTTATTTCATAACCGAAACACTAACATAGTGTTGTTTCATATATTAATTTTGACTGCAATAATTATTTTGGTTCTGCTACAGGAGATGATGTATGGAGGCTACTGTTCACCAGCAGATTTTCTCTAGCATGAATTCGTGGGTTTTAGACAATGCAGAGTAAATTTTCAATATGATATTCTGAATAAGCATGACTAAATGTATTGGGGTGCTGTCATTTCTGTAAAGCATATGAAAAGCAGTTGAAGAAATGATATAGGAGCCATGATTGGCAAATTGTGAATATGCTGATTTATAAATCACCATTCATAATTACAAAAGCTTACTAATTTAAGAGGTGCTAAAGAACCAAGATTTTCTCATGTTTACTAGAATTTGTGAGAAAGAGCAAATCCCATTAGAACTTGATTCACACCTGAAAAAAATCAACAACATTTGAAAGTATACATATTGAAGACTTTGGCAGACTTTCTGAAGGTTCCTATTTGTGCTCTTGCTGGTATTTGCATTGCAGATCCAGAGTTTCTATGTCCTTTTCTTTTTATCCCTGGGACATTGTAATGCAAATCTTAATATCTTTCCGATGCTTAGCAATTTGCATCTTTGAAATTTGAATCGTTGTGAGACACAAGAGAATTATATAGTGAATATACTGATGTGCTTCAAGACACAAATTTGAATCTCCTATAATGAAAAATTCTAATATTCAGGAGTGTTACAGATTTGGGGTTTATTTGGTATTTCATTCCTTTAAACCCACTGTGTTTTCTTCGTTTATGTTTTAATATGGAACCGTAAAATAGTAAAAACAATGGTGACATGGCAGGTATATTGATAGAATAATCGGTTTCATGTTTCTCTCTCTGAAAAAAAAATAAAAAATAATTGCTACAGGTTTAAGAAATTCCTGAGAGATGTCTACCTCATTTACCCTTATAAACTGAAATGCAGGGATACCTGAAGTGAAATAATATAGAAGTACTTCCTTATATGATTAACTCAACATTTTTCCACATAATGCCTCATGTGTCCAACATGTAATAATTGCTAGTTCTTTGCATTTCTCACGTTGTTCTAGAAAGTAATAAAATATTTATTCTTTGTGGAGCTAGTATAATTTTTTCCTTATCTCCAACTAACAAAGTGCATGATTAGTATGCAAGTCACGTCATCACCAACAAATTTGTAGTATTTATCTGATATGTAATTGTAATGTTATAATTCATGAGAGGGAGAAATTTTGCTAAATTTCTTGTGAAAAATAAGAAAATAAAAAGAGTCTTGTTTTCTCTGAGGCTGGTTAATAAACAGATGTCAACACATGCCTAGAAAATTTGCAGGTTGGATTTCTGGGAGTGAGAAGTGATTTCATTAAAACTCACTGAATGTGCTTACATGCACACGACTTTCATTCATCAGCATTATATTCGCTTGTTCTTCCTCTGTGGCCATTGGTAAAAGACATTTGTCTTTGTCATTCTTAACAGCCACTGGACTTTGAGACCAAAAAATCCTATACTCTGAAGGTAGAAGCAGCCAACATTCATATTGATCCTCGCTTCATCAGTGGAGGACCATTCAAGGATACAGCAACGGTAAAAATTGTAGTAGAGGATGCTGATGAGCCACCAGTCTTTTCATCACCTACTTACTTACTGGAAGTTCATGAAAATGCTGCTATTAACTCTGTGATTGGTCAGGTGACTGCCCATGACCCTGACGTGTCTTCCAGTCCTATAAGGTAGTGCTACTTTAAAGAATACAAAGAATACAAAAGTATATTTTCCCAGACATTGTATGACATTGTTCTCATGCTGTTTGATCTCTATGAAAATGCTTGTGTAGGATTTGTTTGATGATGTTAGATTTATCAGTTCAGATAATTTTCAAAATCGCAGAAATGCTCCTTTCCACATGAGTAGTCTTATGAAACAGTAGGATTGCAATGAAAGTAAGAAATAGGTTGTATGAGGTCAGATGGAGTTGAATCATCAGTGTATATCTCTGCAGTTGTTTTAAATTATCCACTAGTGTCTGCACTAAAACAATACTGGGCTTATTGCACATAGATATAGGGTTAACAAAACGTATTTTTTATTCCTTTGGCTAAACCTCACTCCTGCTTTAAAGATAGAAGGTCAGAGATGATTGTGCTTATAAGATTTTTGCATCTTTGATTTGCAATATTTTCCCTTTGAACAAAATCTTGAACAAAATCTATTATTGCAGTTTTGTCAGATCAGTGTTTTCTGTCTGACTGTGATGAACACACGTGTTCTCCTCACCCCTTTTAATGGTTAGTATGGTAAGATTTGAGTGTCCCTAAAAGGCATTTTGCTATGTGTAGTACTGCCTGCTAAAAGCATTATGAAAACAAACACCAAAACATCAAATTCATAGTAAAGGTATATTTGGAGAGAGTCTATTTTATAATAGCTATCACTGTACCTTTCTGCCTTAGGGAATTTAAGCAGTCTTCACCATTGTGAGGATGATGCTAATTATTATAGTCTATCACTTAAATCCATTTTCTAATCTTCATCATTTACATCAAGTTTGTTGCAAAGCTGGACTTTAAACCTTTATTTAGGCAGCATACATGCTGCATGTAATATTTCTATTATTTTCAGAATTATAAATTCAGAATTTTCAATATGTTTGAATATATTGAATTTTTGTTTGGAGAAGTTGGAGAGTGCGTTGGAGTCTCTCATTTCTAGATCATCCTTTCAAAACTAGCTAAAAGTAGCATTAACTATCACAGATTTCTATACAGGTAGATTAAAATATTTTCTACCGCAGCACACAACCCAGACAATTTTAATAGGCACTGAATTTATTTTCTCACCAGAGAACCTCTCAGGATGATCAAGGGTAGTAATCTGATCATAGAAACTGGAAATAAATGAGGGTAGTTACCCAGGTTAGAAATATGCTATATATACAGAAGAAAACAGTAGTACGGAATGCACAGAGTTTGATCTGTCACAATTTAAGCAGTGGCTCCACCCCTGATTTTATTACTAATGTCCCCTAGCCTGTGTGAAAAAGGGCTTGCACTGCTGCTACAAAGACAGGTTCTTCTGAGAGATGGGTGAATCCAGCCATGGTGACAGCTTATGGGCTTTCTTCCCTTTCTTACAGCTCGGTAGTAACTTCTCTTTCAATTTAACTTCAGTTCCTTCCTTCTACCGTGTTCTGCTTTGCTCCTGGCTTGGTCTTGTGCTCTTCTTCCTCTTGATTGTGTCCTCTTTGTTCCTCAGCCTAGCTTCAACTCTGCTTGAGTTTTAACTTGGATATTTTCCCAGTCTTGTTCTGTCTCCCTGAAATTTTTTTCTAGTTCTGCCCCGAACTCCTAGTAATTCAGATCAGCTACAAGCCCACCTATGTCCTAAAATTGAACCTCTTTATTCTGTCCAAGCCCCCAAAAATGCACTTAAATATCTATTTCATTTCCATTTTTCATTATTTTTCAGATCAAGGTATTTTCAAAGGCTTTAAAACAAAAATATTTCATATATGCAAACTGAATTACAATGTTATTACTTGTCAACTCATATAGGAACAATTGATATACATGAAACAGAATGGCCAAAATTCATTAAATTTCAATACAAAGGTAATTAATTACCTTTATAAGATTTGGTTTTTTCTAAGGTATTGGCTTGATAACTAATTAAGGAATATACAGAGCTCAATTTTCTATGCCACTTTTATTTTCTTGTTTGCTTACCTGAATAAATTGACTTTTTCTGGGATAGCTCTGGAAAGTCCAAATTATTTTTTAAAATATCTTGCATGAAAGTATTTCAAGACAAAAAGAAGAGATTTCAAGTTAGTCATTCTACTATTATGGGAGCAAAAAATACTCATCAGAGGCAGGTAGGGAGCAGAAATGCAGTCCTTTTTTTCAATTTGGAACAAAATTGGAACATGTCAGGTTCTAACAAAAATATATGAAAGCATTGTTTTATTGCATTAGAATGTTTCCTTTTGATTGTGAATTTCAAGTGTTTATACTGTTATTATATCACATATATATTGTAAATTTTATGTATATGTTCTATGATACACTTGGAAAATTTAGACATAAGTTAAAGATTTGAAAAACAGGATTAAAACATTCTGTTTTAAAAATAATGAACTGTTTTAATACTGCCTGGCCATATTTAATGCATTTTTTTCTTTGAAACAGAGTTTTAAGAGTCAACAATCAGTTGCATTTCAGGGAAATTATATTTTTCAGGAGATATTTTTCTATCAATATTTCGGTTAGAGCTTTTTTTTGTAGCTGTTATAAAAACCTCAGCAACACAAACAAAAATGTGAGTCATTTTATGTGCTACCAATACCACATCTGCTGCCCATTAATCTTATACACAGAGACTCAGTGAACTTGGAGTACTGCAGTACCATAAATAAAATAAAACTTGTAGAAAAGAGGAAATAGTCTGATAACTGAATCATAAGACCAAACATTAAAGAATTTAGAAAATTATTATAAAAATATAGCACCTGAAAAGGGCCTACAGGAAAGCTGGAGAGAGACTTTTCATATGGGCATGTGGTAATAGGACAAGGGACAATGGTTTTAAACTATAGCACGGTAGATTTAGGGGGCCAGTTAGCTCAGTCAGTTGAGTGTGGCACTAACAACGCTAAGGTCGCGGGTTCGATTCCCATTTGGTCCCCATGTGTTGCCTGGTCTAGTCAAGAGGTGGTGTCCCTCGCGGCAGGGAGGCTGGATTAAAATGATCTCTAAGGTCCCTTCCAGCTTAAGCCATTCTATGATTCTATGATATTGTGAAGACATTACGAAGAAGTTCTTTGCTGTGAGAGTGGTGAGACACTGGAATGGGTTGCCCAGGGAAGTTGTGGATGCCTCATCCCCAGAAGCATTCCAGACCAGGCTGAATGAGATTTTGAGCAACCTTGTCCAGTGGGAGGTGTCCCTTCTCATGGTGAGGGGAGGTGGAACCAGATGATCTTTAAGGTCCCTTCCAACTCAAGCCATTCTACCATTCTGTGAAAACAGCCTGGAAACACACTTCTATGTTGTTGTGATTTTGGTTTTTTTTATTAAAAAAAAAGATTTAACCTCATTTCTATCCAGTACAAGAGCACCTTGTTTTTCACGCTTGCTTAGAAGAGACAAAACATATTCTCTGATCTTACCATCACTTGATCTAAATGGTATGAGGCCTATCATAGATTCTCTTGGGAAAAGCACTGAGTGAATTCACCAAAGCTAACTGCCAAGCCTTGCTGTAGTTTATTTAGTAGGAATGGTATATTTTGGCTTATAGCATAATTAGGCTTCAAAGATCATTATCTATTAGCATACAGATCTATTGATTCCAGTAGTACTTATTTCATGTTTCTGTTGTTATTCTATAACCATGGTCTATTTATCTGCAGTAAATTATCTTGGATAAAGCATGATCCAAGTGCATAGAAAAAAAGTATGAGTAATAATGTTTCTTCCTATACTGTATCCGTCCTCCTATAAATCACTGCCCTTCAGTGTCTTTCTCTGTGGAGAAATAAGCTTCACTTTAGCAGGTTTTCCTCATTCATATCGACAGAGATTTCATCTTTGGCAGCAGTTGATCATTTTCTTAATTTACAGCAGGCCATAACAACCTAGATACAATATTTTCTGCCTTCCTAATGGTACAGCTGTTTATCTGTCACTAAGCAGTGTGTCCGATCTGGTTGGCACTAATAAACAATGGTGATTTACCACTGATGAGGTATCACTACTGCGATTCAAATCTTAGCAGGTGCGGTGAAAAAGGATTTCTGCTCTTATTTACATTGGTGCAAATAAAGAATAGATCAAATTAAGTCATAAAAGCCATAGCAATAGTGCAGGAGCAGGGCTGACAATCAGTTGAATTCCCCTGTTAAACCATAAGTTGTTCCTATAATTGCCATAAACTAACCAAATCTCCTCAGTAACCTGTACTGGGTTTATGGCAATTTCAAAAGATATTATTTCCCAAGATATTCTTTTCTCATTTTTAGAGAATGTATGTTTTATGTATACCTTATGGATCTGACAATGCATTCCCATTAAAAAGAGTTACAATACCATTATCATGAAAAGAAAACTGCAAACATAATATTAGCTTTCCCAGCTTTATGATATTGCATATTTTATTTTTTATTTTTGTACCAAATATTTATCAAATTAAAACCAGGAGAGGGTTGTACCTTTTTGTAGTCTTGTAAAACCATGTAAATTATGTTAAGAATGGTTCATTCTGAATACTGGTTTTGCTTTGTGAATAAATACTGTGGGGATGAGGTGAAATGCAATGAAATCAACTCATGGATGTTATGCTCCCAGTTTTATAACTTAAAAAATTGTGTTGCAGGAAGACTGTGAATGGAAGTTTAAAACAGGATTGATCCTTAGAGAAAAACTGTGTCTCATCTCAATGGAATTTATGTTAAGCCCAGGTCAACTAAACATTAACTAGCATATAAATGATTCTTATTTTATTTCATTTGTGGACCGTAAAATTTTCATATATGGTTGATATCAGAAGAGTTCTTTCTGCAACACTACATAAATATCTAGTATTACAATATAGCTTTAAGTGATGGAGTTTTAAAAGAAGTTATCTTGATTGCTGTCTTTGTTGTATATTATTGAATGAAATCTTAAACCTGTGAAAGTCTAAGATACTTTTTACTATCTTCACTAGTACCAGAATTTTACTTCTAATACTTTAATTGGAGCTAGGGAGACATCAAAATAAAGTTAAGATACATTTTCCAAAATGATTGCCTGAAGTTCGGTACTTACAGCTTTATTCTTCCACACAAGTGACCTGATTTCAAGAAATGCTAAGGACAGCACAATTCCTATTAAACCATTGAGAACCGAGCATGTAGAGCTCACTAGAAAATCATTTTACTCGAATTTCCAAATACAAATAGATGCATGTGCCTCGCTTTAGGCACATATATTTAGAATTTTACTTCATATTTTTTCTGATGTTCTTCTTAACCAAACTATTAAGTTTTAAGTGAGTACCAGGAATTCTTCTCAGTGTTTGAAAACAGAAAACTTAAATGCCTAACAAATCCCATTGCCTAGTTAAACAGGTGTATCCCCTCTTAATTCCATTAGTTGTTAAGTACCTTACAAGTGTGATTATGCTAGCCTTGGTCTTTACTAATACAGTCTTTAAACATTTAAACTTTAAGATTTTGATAAATTTTCGTAATTTAAAACTATTTTTTTAAAGTGAATTGTATCTGTCCCTGGAATAAAAAAAGAAGGACACCGTAATCCTAGACTTTGAAATCAAATCCTAATGCTGGGTGTGTCAAAATCAATTGTGTTGTGCTGGAATGACTTTCAGTTCATCAGAATAAGTTTGTTGTAGCATATAAAGGAACTTCCAAATTAGTTTTTTTGGGGAAATTGCTTATGATAAAGCATAAATAGGAGTGGAAAAATCGATTTTCAGATAGTGCTACCATTGTCACTATAGCAAAATGTGTTTTTGTTCTTTTGTCAGTGAATTTAACAGCATATTTGCAAAAATAAATGTAATGATCTGGTGATCTGAGTCACTTTTCTGACCATTATATAGTGTAATCCAGTCTGATACTATATCCTAACTCACCATATTATGCCTAGATATAATGCAGAAGAGATGTAAAAATTGTCAATCCATGCTGTTAGGTTCTGTACTACGTAGACACAAAGGCTTCAAAGGCTTTTATATAAATCCACAATTTGGGTTAAGCAAACCCCATTGAAATCAATCTTTTTTTGAACCATATCAATAGTTTATCTCTCATTTTGTACCTTTCCTGTCAAAAATTTGTAAGACTTAATTTTGTGATTTAGTTTCTTTTTGCAAATAATACATTAATAAAATAACTCTGTGAAAATGGACAAAGATAAAAGCTTTCCTGGACATCCTGTTCTCAGCTTTAAGTCATCATCCTGCTTAATGCACCATTGTAGCAATCTACTGCAGCTCTTCTTGTCAAGCTGGCTCTGTTTAGGCTGGATAATTTACCTAGACATTCACATTTGCAAACTGACTACATGTCACATGAAACTTGTTTTGTTAAAAATCAGTGATGTCAATCCATAAAACAATCAGTCCTGCAGCGTTTAAAGCATTTTACAGGAAAATGGTGATTCACTAACTACATTCTGCCCATGGAACTGCTTGAACCATAACCAAATAATACATTTGGTGAATCCTTCATGCTTCATTACTCAGAAATTTATGGGTAAAATAATATTATTCAGCTCTTTTCAAAATAACCATGAAGCCCACCATTTTTTGTGTGCTTAATACATTACTGTTGAAATTATCATCAGTTACTGTGAAATACCATAGAAACTGTCTAATAAATGTGATGGATTGTGTAATTAACTCTTGATCAGCACCGTTTTTCAGAGATGTTACCCAGTGATCCTGAGGGCATTTTATGACCTTCACATTGGGCATGCAGCTAATTACTCCTTGGGCAATAATTATTAAGATTTTTTTTGTCTCAGTTTGTCATTTTGTCTTATAAATTATTATGCTATTGAGCTTCTCGATCCATTTGGCTATAGAACTGCAGCTCTCAGAGGGCTCTCTAAGTTGTCTTGTGATTGTATGGATTACAGCAACTTCATTAAGTAGATTACAGGGATGTCTGTTTTGTAGGTTTTCCATTGATCGGCACACTGACCTTGAGAGACAGTTCAACATCAATGCAGAAGATGGGAAAATAACTTTGGCAACACCACTGGACAGAGAAACAAATATGTGGCACAACATAACTATTGTAGCTACTGAAACTAGTAAGTATTTGTGTTTGCTGATTTTTCACTCTAGTTTATAATTAGTTTTAACAGTGTGTGCGGTGGGAACTGTATTTAATTCAGTAAAAAGTAAAACATGTTGGATATTTAAATTACGGAATTTTTGAAAGGAAACTTAGTTTCTGCTGAAATTCCATTTCTTTTCATTTTCAAAACTCTTTTTTAGTGAATACAATCGTGTAGGTTTTAAAGAGATACAGGAGTACATTTATACAGGGTATATATGGTAAACGCTCAAAAACGTTAAAAAACCCCCAGCAAAACAAAAGCCTGATAGTTAATTTTATTAAGAAAGAAAACATAAAGCTTTGTTGTTGCAGAATTAAATAGTAGACACAAGTCAGAAGTTCTTAACGCTGAGTGATATTATGTTGCAGTACCATAAATGATTAAGCATGTGGGTAATGTTGCACGAAAGTAGTCCTATTTGATACATATGAATAAATTTACTGAGATACAGCTATAGACAAGAACATGGATTGTTCAGATCCACAAAACTGTTGTGATTGGGAGCCAGGAGTGTCACCCTGTGCTTCTTTTCAAAACCCAACATGTTAGGAATTTGTGACAAGTAACTGGAAGGACATACATAAATGAGAAAGGTCTGAGTTTAAAATAAACTTGCGATGCGACTTACAACTCCTATAAACTGTTTTCCTATGACTTACCTTAATAATTGCCAGTAGTGTAGTAGTGCCAACAGTGCGCTGTTAATTACTGTTAAATCTTGCGGGCAAACACTACTTTGATAAATTAGAAAGAATATTTTCTTCTTCCAGGAAAACCAAGCCAACACAGGGCATCAAACTATATAAGGAAAGAAAGTAAACTCTAATTTCATAGGGCATATTTTGCCCTGGTTAATATCAAACCATTTAATAAGTTTCATATTTTTATAGGAGAAAGATATAAAATTTCCATATAAATTTCCTCAAGACGTGAGGTGTCGGATCGTGAGATATACTAATGGCAAGAAAAGCAGAATTATTAGGTTTTGATCCAAAGTTTTCGGACTTTGGAATAGTGAGATGTAAAGTGAAGTAGTTTTACATTTTGTTTTCTCCAAAAAGTAACAAAATAAAAAGAATAATTTTTCAAAACCTCCCATTAATTTTTTTTATCTCCCTTTTATGTGTGTGTCAGAGCAAAGTTAACAGAAGTGCACTTTACTAAGCCACATCAGAATCATAAATCTTCCTGTTGCATCTTCAGATTTTAAAAATGTAATTAAACTCAAGAATTGTGGTAAGAAATCAGCATTGTCATTAGGCTTCATGGGAGCCTCAGCATCTATCACTATTGTAAAATTGCCTCTTATCAGACTGTCTATGAAAATAATAATGCCAATCTTGTTCTAAGCATTTGTGTTTTTTTGCTTATTTTTGCATTCCTGATATAATTATTTGACATTTACGTAAAAGAAGAGCTTAATTTCATAGGCTACTATCTTTGCTTGTTTAAGAGAAATTATTGTTAAACTCCTCATGAGAAACTAAATTTGTTCAGAGAAGTGTCAAGCAGAGTAAAATGGGCATTTTTAGATTTTTTTTTTCCAACAGCAATAAGCAAAATATCTTCTAAAATAACAGAAATATGTTGGAGGCAGACACAAGCAGCAGATGAAAACACAAAGTGTGTCATTACGATGCTTTCACTGACAGTAATATTAATGGACTCTGATCTCTTCCATAAAAATAAATATGACAGCATCATTTGTACAGGAGCATTTTCTCTTCCTGGTCTAGCTCGTTTCTAGATTCACCTAAAGGCTCACCTTTATTCTTCTAGGGCTACGATCAGACCATTTCATGGATATTACACTTGCTTACTAAGTGTAATCCATGATCCTTGATTCCCAGCATGGTAGATCTTACGTATACCCTAATTTACCAACACTTTAATAGGTAAACGCCAGGTTTTGGCAAAACATAAATCACTATTTCAGAACTTCATACTCATAAGTTGCCTGCAGCTAAATTTGTGCTTTAGACATGGGTGACTTTTGGCAGTTTTCTGCTGTCATAAAATTATTCTTTTGTATCATCCTTCAGCCACTGTCTCAAGTGGGAATCGTCAGAGACAAAATTGATCTGGCTGAATTGTGCTTTACGTCTGCATTTTCACCTGACTTGAGGATGAAGATTTTTAGATTCAGACTAGCTGATTGCTTTGAAAGTGATCAGATTTAGAGTGTGTGTGTGGGTAATTTTAAACATGCTACTTCTTTTTAATCCCAGTGCCCCAAATTTGAACTTAGCCCTTTCATGTCTGACAAAACAGGAATACAAATAAAAATGCCTGAGCCGGTGGAGACTGTGACTCTTTTCTGTAAGTACTTAACAGGCAAAAGACCAGTTTGTTGTTCTTTTTTTTTTTAAAGAAGGACATTTCTTTTTCCTATTCATAGGCAGGTGTCTGGCTAGGTCTAATTCAGATCCAGTTCAAGCTGTTGGTGACAAATAGTGTTATGAACATATTCTGAGATCTGTGCAAAGGGAAACACTTTGGAGGGGCATTTCTTGCCTTTCACTTTCCTATCACTATGAGAATCCTATTCGTCTGAACACACAAATACATTTTTTAGTTTGTGTAATTTACAATTGTAGCTATAACTACTCTTCACATTGACATGCTTGTGTTGTTTGCATTAACTGGTTAGCAATTTGGCTGGGCAGTGAAGCAGAGCAGAGTTCAGGCTGGGCTAACCTCCTTAGTATTCTCTCGCTTTCTTGTGCAGATTTTGCAGTACTTACCAAGTTATGTGTTGCCAATGCTACTCAGCTACTAAAAGAAAATCAAATAACCATGGTTTATTTATTAGAACATTTTTACTATGGTTCGTACAGATTCTGAATAGAGTTCATAATCAGCAGTCATTCACGCTATCAGATTGTCATACGTGTATAGGGCATGTAATAATTAAACTCTATCTTCCTTCTGCCTCCAGCTCCATGGATTTCTATTTCCATCTTCTAATGGCTGTACCAGCCACATTGCAGATATTCCCTAGTATCCTCACTGTGTGTCTCATTAATACTAAGGAAATACTTTATACTTCAGTCATTGCTGGTTAATTGATACGACAAAAGCAGTAATAAATGGATAATTAATGTAGTTTGAAATCAAAGCAAAAACTTAAGAGAAGGTATTTTAACTTAGGAAAGAAGTGTATTAGTAATATAGTTTAACTGCATAACATTCCTCCAAATCAAATATGAATATCCTGATATTTGCATGATCATTCCTCCTAAACTGTTGCTGAGATCTGGATTCTAGTGAATTATTTGAAAACAGAAACTGCATTCAGTATTAGCAATGCTTAGCTGAAATTCTCTCTTTAAAGAGTGAGGTAATCCATTTCTCAAGAATATGTGTATTACATTGTAGAAATTCACTGAATGATATCACAGATTTCAACAAGAAAAAAACTTCTAAACATATTCCAGTTGGCAGCCTCTGAGATTTGTGAAAAACACACAAACAAATAACAAAACCCATGGCTTGTCAACTTTAAAGACAACTAAATGATGATCCCTATAAAGTCCACAAGCTTTCTTTTACCTGACGTAATGTTGAGTGGGCTACTCAAGATTTATATTTTTCTTCCAAGCCTTCTTATGACCATGTGCATCACTGGATTCCTCAGACTGCACTCAGGTCAAATCCCAGTTACGGTTTGTGAGGCACTACCATAAGCATATTCAAGCATAGACAGGCTCTTTTATAATTAGTATAGACTCAAGCCTTTTCAGACATCCCGGGAAATACAGAGATGAGGAGTGCATCCGTTTGCTCTGTTGCATCAGGTTACAGGAAGGCTCTTCTAAGACTTCTCCCTCCGCTCACACTCTGTGCATCACATGCATGCAACAGATCAGTCTGCTGGGAAATTCCAAAACCATTGCCAGACTGCCTGGGAAAGGCTATTTCTCTTAGCCTAGAGCAATGCTTTTAGCCAAGTTTTAAATCTCTGAATGAAGGGTTTTAATGGAATTTCTCTTTTCCTTATTCTCCAGGCACTGCAGTCATGGAACTATTATTTTTATTTTGATTGACTGCTTTGTCAAATAATTCTTGGTATTCAGCTTCACTTGGAAAACAATAAGCATACCAGTGGCTAGCAAACCCCCTCCTCGTACTTGGCAAACTACCAGAACTGCCACAACTAGTAGAAGTTCTCGTGAATTATTACCCAAAGCAATACATGAAAATATAGATGAGATCTTGAAATGTAAATGGTGATTTGACCACAATAAATATTTTCAAGGCGTAGAGCATAGGACTCTCAAGGACAAAGCTGTGGGCTCTATCTGACAAAGGTAATTACCCATACCAACTGCATTCTTTAGAAATGAAGAAGTATGAGGCAATTTTATCACCTAATGGGAAAGGGCATAAAGCCAGAAAGACTCTTTATGGTTTACCAAGAATATAAATACAATAATTGAATCATCACTCGGCACATGTTCTACTAAAGTTATCTATATTGTATATTCCTTTAAAAAATACAAGGACACTAATTAAAAAGGAAGAGAGACATAATTACTCTTCAGAATAAGCCTTCAGCTACAATGTGCTTTTTAATACCATGAATACGTTTGCTCATGCTTTCATTTATTTAATTTTATTTAGGCTTTTATTGTAAAAATGACTATCGGCATTATTAGTAATATTTCTAACATTTTAGGAAGTTACTTTGGTGCATCATATAATTACCTCTAATTTAGGGCTGAGTAAATTTCAGCAAGTTTTAGAAAGAGGAGGAAATAGCATTTATGGAGGTTTAATGAGGAGAAGCTCAGGAATATTAACCTTTTTTTGCTTGACCCTTTTTTCTCTGTCTTAGTGGAACTCAAACTAGATAATCCATCATTTTTGCACAGAAACATAGAATTTAGTAAGGTAATTTGTATTCATTTGCACATAAATACAAGGTTACACAGAACGCCATAGATTCTAATGGGTCGCAGAGCATTTGC